CCCTCCCCCCCCCCCCCCCCCGCCAATGTGGCTAGCTAGCTAGTTAGCTAGCTGCCTACCTTGCTAGTTAGTCAGCTGCCCACCTGGCTAGCTAGCTGGCCATCTATCCAGCTAGCTAGCTCTCTGGCCAGCTAGCTAGCTAGCTAGCTGTGGGTCTGGGGGCAGGGGCAGTGGCGAGGCTCTTGGTCCTGCGGATGACTTGTGGGGGTGTCTAGGGCGTCGGGGGTTTTATTTTTTTGTTTGAAATGGACAATCGAGATGAATTAGGTTGAATTAAATTAAATTAATTAATAAACTAAATTAAATTAATTAAATTAAAAAAATTAAATGCATTAAATTGGATTAATAAATGAACATTTGCAGCCTTTAATTCCTGCTTGGTGTCGGCAGCAGGTCACTTTGCTGCTGCGGGCGAGGGTTTGGGAGGCTGAAATGACTTTTTAAATGCAAACAAAACTCTTTTTAAATAATTTAAATGAATAAATTGAATAAAATAAATAAAACGAAAGAATTTGATTCGAAAAATCTGGGGGAAATGCGGTTTCAGCGGTTCATTTGCTCCTCGGGGTTTCGCAGGACCACTCGAGAGGCCAGCGGGTGGCTGCGTCTGCGGCCGCAGTTTTCCGCCGTTGTATTCTTTTAAATAAAATTAAATTTTAATTAAATTTAAATTAAACTAAAAATGTTTAATTGTGTAAATGTGTAAAGTGCAGTTCAAGTTGCGCTTCGAAGGAGGCGACGAGGTGTACGTACACCCCAACTCGACCCGCGCACCAATCCAGTAACTCGATTAGCTTTCTGGACTTTTACCCCGCGCTAATTTCCGCTGATAAGTCCATTTGATTTAAATGCAGTTAAAAGCAGAGCAGCGCAGCCTCTTTCTAGTCCTAGAGCAGCAGCTGCTGCTTCCGCTGCTGCTGCTGGGGTGTACGTACAGCCACTGCTGCTGCTGCCCCAGCTAGCCACTCCCTAAGCATGCACAGACACAGAGTGCATGCGCTGCCTCTGCAGGGGCCCCCTGACCCTCTTTTAGTTCCTCTGAAGCCCGCAGGGGGCCCCTCCAGGCGCAGCAGGCAGGGCTCCTCTGCTGCTGCTGAAAAGCAGCAGCAGCAACGGCAGCAGCAGCAGCAGGAACCGCAGCAGCTGCTGCTCACCTGCTGCATATACCCCAACGGCAGGTCAAGGCCGCCCCTCTTCAGAGGGGCCCCTCAAAGGGAGTACCACAGAAGCGCCTCACGCGAGCAGCAGCAAAAGCAGCAACAAAAGAGGCAGCAGCAGCAGCAGCAGCAAAAGCCTTTAGCTCACTACAGCTGGCAGCTTCCCGTAGCTGCTCTACGCGACGGCTCCGTATCGAGGGGTTTAGAAGCAGCAGCAGCAGCAGCTGCTGCTGCTGCTAGCTACTGCACATGCAACGGGCCCTGCAGCGGCGCGGGGGCCCCCATGGGGGCCCCCCTGGGGATCCCCTTGGGGGGCCCCAGCGAACTGTCTGGTGTAGGTCTTTGAACCCTCAACACTCAGGTTTAGGGTTTGAATGGTTTAAGGCTGTTCCAAACCCTAAACCCTAATCTCTATAAATGCCAGCCCTTACAAAACCACAAACCCTTTCTTATGAATCCTTCTGCTGCTGTTCCTGCTGCTGCTGCTGCTGATTTTGCTGCTGCTGTTTCCGCTGCTGCTGCTGCTGCTCTCCCTGCTGCTGCTGCTCCTCAGGCACACGCAGCAAGCCACCTAGCAGCACGGGGCCCCTCCACCCGCTGCTTTCTTCCGTCTTCGGGGGCCCCCCCTTGTCAGTACCCTTTTGGCGTTGAGCCAATGAGGCCCCTTATGGGGGCCCCCGTGGGGCCCCCCGTCGGGGCCCCCGTGGGGGCCCCCGGTGGGGCCCCCCTGGGAGCCCCCGTGGGGGCCCCTGTGGGGGGCCCCCTGTGCAGCAGTGGGTCTGTTGGTGGGCTGCCTCTTTTGCCTTACGGGGCTTCTCCAGTGTCTTCATTATTTTCGATATCGGGTTTGGTGCCTCCTGCTGCAGCAGCAAGCGCTGCTGCAGCAGCAGCAGCAGCAGCGGGTCTGCCGCCCGCTGCAGCAGCAGCAGCAGCAGCAGCAGCAGCAGGAACTCTGCGGCAGCAGCAGCGGCTCTCTGAACTCCCCGCGCCACCCCCAGGACACCCCTTGCCCTGCATTGTTTATTCTCCCAAGCTAAGAAGTATAATAGTTCATTTTTCGCTGCCCCCTCTCTGCAGTTTGCTGCAGGGGTCCCCCTGGGGGGTCCCCGGGGGGCCCCACGGGGGCCCCCGGGGGGCCCCCAGCCCCCAGTTTCTGAGGGCCCTCCGCAGCCGCTCGTACCCTATTCCAGGGGGCACTTACTGCCGCCTCTTCAGCAGCAAAAGGTACGGGAGGCCCTTAGCTGAGGCCCTGGCTTTGCAGTTTGTGGCTCGCTTGCAGGCGGAGCTGCAGGGGGCCCCTGCTGCTGCTGCTCCTGCTGCAGCAGCAAGCAGCAGCAAAAACGGAGGCAAAGAGCCCGCAGCAGCAGCTCACGCGGCCGCACACGCAGCTAACCAGCAGCAGCAGGGGGGCCCCAGGGGCCCCAGCCGAGCAGCAGAAGCCAAGGCAGCAGATAAAGAGGCCCACAGGAAGGCACATGCAGCGCCTGCTGCTGCTGCTGCTGCAGCAGCAGCGGCAGATAAGAGTTCAACTGGAAAAGCAGCAAATGGGGGGAAGGAGCACACAGAAGCGCCCAGCAGCTCCCAGCAGCAAATGCCTGAACAGCTGCGCGAGGCGGCGGATGCCCCGAGCTCTCATGCTGCTGACACAGCAGCAGGAGCAGCAGCAGCTGCTGCTGCTGCTACTGCTGCTGCGGCTCCTGACCACGCTGCTGCTGCTGATGCTGCTACTGCAGCTGTGGCTCCCCAGAAGAGGCCAAGGGGGCGTCCACGAATTTGCGGAGGTGATGCTGCTGCTGCTGCTGCTCAGCAACTTGCTGTCGAAGAGCAGCAGCAGCAGCAACAGCAGCAGCAGCAACAGGTCATAGACCCCGAAGAAGCCGCCGCAGAAACGGAAAAGGCGTGGCAGCAGCAGCGCGGGCGAAAGAGGCATAGGCTGAGCGACAGCAACAGCAGCAACTGCAGCAGCAGCAGCAGCACCCACAGCAGCAGCAGCAGCCTCGAGATGCCTGTGCGACGCGGTAGGCCCCTGCAGCAGCAGGGGCTGCAGCAGGTCTCTGCGGGCCCCAGCAGCAAGCGCAGCAGCACCAACAGCAGCAGCAGCAGCAGCAGCAGCAGCGCCACTGCCGAGGACTGGTTACCTCCAGCAGGAAATGTCACAA